TCGTCGCCATAGAAGTGCAGCACGAAATGGGCCCGGCTAACGTAACTGTTGTCATCGAAGCTGATGTCTGTCACTTGGTGGTGGCTATGGCGACCGACCACCACCTCGCTTTTAAAGATGATGAATGACACGTGGTCGGTATCCACACGGGCTAGCGGCACGTCGTTGCCCGGTGGTTGCGGCGAGGCGTTGTTGCTGCCGTGCGTGATCCATCTGACCGCAGGGAAGTCAGCAGCTGTAGTCACCGAACCGGGTACCGGAACTGTAGGTGATGAAGCCACCTCCACCAAATGGCTGGAGTCAAGGCTCATACTGGCATCGGGACATGGGCCAGCAGCCGACAGCGGCTGCTGCTGCGATGCGGAGCGAATGAAATTCTGAAAGCCACGCACATGGCCGCCGCTGCACTGATACGAGGATGAGGGTGGTGACGAGGAGGAAGACGAGGACAACGGACGACGAAAGTTCTGACCGTCTTCTTGGCCGCACACCTGATGACTAACGGCTGGCATTCGACGACGAACGGCGCGGTTGACGACGGCGGCAGCAAGAGACCATCATTGCCGATAGGGTTGTGAGAAGAAAAATGGTGCGTGAAGAGGAAGTCAACTATAAGAGAGGCAAAACGAAATGCGAAATGGACGTCGAAGCTAATTATAAACTAAAACTATGATAGAAGGCGTCGACGCCCGACGACCACTCAACCGTTGTTCATGATCCACGTATGGGCCGTCACTGTTGTCGGCATATACAAGTTCGGGTTGAGGGAAGGTGAGGAGGTGAGGACAATAGCGCAGGCGCAGGAGGAGGAAAAATCGTTGGCTGATGGCGACGACGACGACAGCAGCGACGATGACGACGTGGTCGTCGTCAAACGCGAGCAATAAGCCACAGTCACGATCCAAGTCCAGATCCAAGTCGGAAACGTCGTGACGTTGTCTGCCAAATACCGCATGTGTTGCACGACGACAAAACAAGTCACGGACTGACGCAAAGTCGCCGCTGCTGCTCGAAGATGATCTCAACACAAAACACCTGGGCCGCCACCGTCTCTGCAACAAAAAATACACCACATCTTCAATACACACTTGACAATCACTATATT